TTTCGATCAGCATATTACAGAAATCTAATTTATCGCATTAATTTTGAGAGCTTATTACCCCGAAATTTTGTTTAAATGCCTTTTTAAAAAAATGATTTGTTAAGAAAACGGAAGCAAAAAAAATATTTCTGGATCAGGAAACTTCTCACATGATCATCTTTGATTTAACCAAAAATATTTTCATTAGTACAAGTAGACACGTACTGAAATTAATTTTTTTCCCTTTAAATCTCTTAATTGCTGTTTTTGTCATTTATATCGTTTAATGTGTTTTGGAGGGGTTCATTATCAACATTAAATACTACATATAGATATAAAACGTTTATTATAATGGCTAAAGCGATCTAAGACATATATCGGTATCTACGATGTTAACATGACTTACAAGACCAGGCAGATGTGAATATTTAGTGTAAACCACAAGCATGAGTGTCAATCTCGTGATTGGCCAAGTTTGAGGAAAATTCAATGTAACCACAAGAAGTATGAATGGAAAAATTATCAATTTTAAATAGATCAAGTTTCGGTTTGTCACATGGACAAATTCTGTTTCTAAGTTCTTCAATCTAAGTTCGTCATGCTTGAAAATTTCATACAAGAACATGTGACATAATTACTTGGTGTTTGCGACACGTACACACCTCAATGGTGGTTGACTTCTCAAAATTTGTTAGTCTAAATCTTTTATCAGACATATACATATCTTTTTTAAAAAATATTTAACTTGAAATGGTAATATAAGGTTTTAGAATGTTTTAATACAAAAGGAATAAAGAAAAGAAAAACCGACAAAATGGTCAATGCCCTGAAACCAAATAAAAAAAATAACAAAATTACAATTATAACTTTTTGTTTAGTTTTTACTATTTACCTGTTAAATAAGAGTGAAATGACGTATCAAACATTTAGATCGATACCAATTCTTCATATCGCCTTCCTATTTTGTCCTACACCGACTGTTCAAATAAGTGATTTGTCGTTTAACTATGGATGACCAATACACTTTTTTTTTAAATTACAAATAATGAATATGATTTCATTCACTATTCTTTGGAATTATTACTTCCTTGATATTAGTGTGTGGATAGGATAATCAGCATTCTGATACAGTGTTTTATTTAAACAAGGAGGTCATTCTAATAGATGTTATTGCCACCAGTTTTTATTCTAAGTGTAGGCTGACAGACCATTACAAGCAGAAAGAGAAAATCTTGACGTTAGAAATAATGTAATCAATGACGTAGATAGGTGATTTATCACCGAATGGATGATGTTTAACAATTATTCTCATGTAGTGAAATTCTTTTACGACCTTATAATAAAACATCTATAAAATAGGTCGCCTTGATGAGCTTAGGTCTAAATAATGGTATACATATCCAATTATTTATTGAAGAAGACTATGCTAATTATATTCAGGGCAAAAGATAGCTTTTTATTTGTTGACACTTTGATTGTGACGTCACTTTAGCAAAATAAGTAAATGGTAGTAAATATCAGAAAGATTGCATCGAATAGGATATCATGGGATGAAAGCAACGAATCAAATTTTAGTCTTTTTCATCAGAATGGGGGTTTTGTGTCGAATGTTTACTATCCAATATATTTTGTCATTTGTAAGAAACTGCACATATAAATAAAGAGTTTAACCCAAATTACCAATATCTAGTCCATTCCTTCAACACACTGTGGTAAGTTTGTCATTCAAAGCTTACACTACTGCAATTCAGTATAAAGACTACTGCAATTGATAAAGCTCATAGTTTAAACAATATGCATATATACAGGCATTTAACGTATACATCTTTGATCGCTTTCCAAGGACATCTCGGCAATTACAAATTACTTTTATTGTGCTGAATTCTGCCATAAAGAATTTTGAGGTGACAATATATGAATTATTCATACAATGTGGTGACAATATTTTGTAACACACAAATTTACTCTTGTACAGGTGTGCGTTTTGTTTACATTGCAACTGGTGAAATTTATATTTTATATTATTTTTTTTAAATCGCTGTAAATCAATTTAGAGTAGTGACTATATATATATATATATATATATATATATATATATATATATATATATATATATATATATATATATATATATATATATATATATATATATATATAGTTTTTTTCAAATAGTTTCAATTTTTGAAGATTGCATAACTCTTAAAAATCTACAAGTCAAAATTTTTCGTATAAAAAAAATAGAATATAGAATTTCTTGTCTAAATCTGCAGTGGAGGAAAACGCCAGAAACATCACCTCATGTTTAAAATATCAATATATTATCATTTCTCCAAGACATCAGAGAGTTCCCGTATCGATGTATGAAATGTATTTCAATGTTTAATAGCATAAAGATGCCTGAAGCATTTAATGGTAAAATTCGTTTCATTTTCCTTGCATTAAAAAGTGGAAAACATTTATCCACAATTTCAGTACACCGTTATTTTTTTTAAGTTTGTTATTAATAAAGTATATGTAATACAATTGATATTATAGTGTTATACGTTAAAACTGTAATCATACCAATAATAGTTATTCAAGTAAAATTCTTAACATATAAAGAAAGTGCATTTTTAATCTTATCTTTTAGTTTGTTCATTTTGAATTGCTTAATATTTCTAATCAAAATTTTTGTGTTTGTTTTAATAAACTGATGTTTAAAATTTCTATTTGTTAAAGTATAATTTATAAGGCATATTTCTCTTGCCCATGGTCCAAAACGCCCTATCCTTGTCTTTAACCATTTGAATCTGTAAAGGAAATGTTTTCTTATTTGATATGTGTACTTTAAGATTTGAAGGCAAAGCTCTGTGAAAAATATCTAAAAAGAATATATTTTGAATCTGCACCCAAAAAACTACGTTTGAAGTGCAAATATTAATATTCATAAACTTTGTTCTAATTTTTTGTCAGTAATAATACGTGAAAATGTCTCTTACACGACATATGTCAAACAATATCCTTCTCTTTTTTAAAGATTTAAACATAAGAACTTTAAAAGAGATTAAATTAAGAACTAATTACAACTAATAGAAAACCGCCGAAATATTGCCGATTCGGTCTTAAACAATGACCAATCAACATAAAATCATTGGAGTAATTTTAGTAATAACTATATTCTGTTGTTTTTGTTGCTTTCTTTTTTATATAATTTTATACAAAAAGATATTTTGTGAAAATTTAATATATATATATATATATTTAAATAAAATACATCTCAAAGTACAATCGACTTAGCCGTTTCAGAAATAGCTAACGCAAGTAATTTTTATCAAATTTTTACACTTCTATGAATATAGGTCACCGAACATGGTGTCTAGCAGATATCGTTAAAAAGTCGCCTCTTCTCATTAACAGGCGTCTTTAAGATGAGCTGAGTTGTCATATTTGATTTCCATGCATTGTCTTATTCTTATTTCACCTACGCTGTTTAATATTCTTTGTTTTCTCTTTTGTTTTATCAAACATTTGACAAAAACCTAATTAATTATATCAACATGTCAATTTTACTATGTTTCAAAAAAGAATTTCACATCTAAATGTTCATATCTTCTATTATTATCTAAAGAAAACACGCATATGCTCTTCCCTTGGCCTACATTCTTTAAAGCACAGTGCATCATGTCCTACCAAATTTCCGCATAGTATGACATAGAAGACATTATAATTAATTTTCTTAAGAGATTTAAATTTTTGTTTAAAATGAAAAATGAAATTGGGAGAAAATTCACGCCTCCACCAAACTCTACAGTTTGTGGATTTCCCTTCTATTACTAAATAGGTAAGTGAAAAGACATCTCAACATTTTCTTGTTTCGCATTTAAACTTCAATATTGACTTGATTTCGATTTTCGCCAAGGTTTGTTACCTTAAACTATCAATAGTTATATTTTTCATTCTAGGGCAAAGGGAATTTATCAGTTTTAGAAAATGAAAACAGAGTTTATAAAAGTAAAATAAGTATATATTTTTTAAAGCACTAATACTTTAAATAAACAATGGATTCTTTAATGCAGTTGAGCAATCATGCTTGCAAAAGGATGAACCTCTTAGGTTTTTACTGTCCTTCTGTGCAATTTTTGTGAATAGAATTGAGGATTAAATGTCTACAAAAGCTTAAAATTTATTAAATCGAGATCTAATTGAATGAAATATGGAGATAACGAACAGTTATCAAGCTCAAAAGTTCATCGAAACCATTTTCGCATGAAAAAAAGATCCGTTCTTGAATTTTCAGAAATCACTGTTAATTTCTATCTTCGAGATCAAACATCTTAGTTTTCTGATTTCAATTCTAAACACTAGTGTGTCCAAAAAGTAAATCTCCGTTAAATCTTGAAATAAGTGCGAATATTTTGTGAAGGTCAGGATAATGTCGGGTTGCATTCATCTTCAAGGTCAATGATAAAATTAAAAGTATCGTCTATTATGACTTTTTACTTAACTGGGCATGTGACAGAACTAGTAACTTTTTAAAAAAAAATTGATAACAATATTTTAAAATTTCGTAATAAAGGTTAGGATTTGAATGAAGAAGTATATTAATAATTATTAAATACAAGAAAAATTATTAAACATAAGTTGACCCATGATTCGTTTTTACTGGTCATAAATCACTATCTACAATGCTCTTGATGGATGATCAAGACATAGCCTTATCGACATACGTGAACCAACAATCGCCCTTTTTACGATGTAATATATCATTCATGAATTCATTGAATCTCCAATCGGACCAGTTTAACATATACATCTTAACCAAGTTTTAACAGTTAATATTTACTAAATATGTACATAATTATTCTCTTACAGGAAGCAACAGAAAAGATTTCACCACTTGACTTGCTGTTCGGGCGCTGATAGGTCCACCTGAACATGTGCTTTACAATATAACCAACCATATCAAAATTTCAAGCAGAACCTAGAAGTGCGATCGACAAGTCGAAAAGTTGTTAATTTCTACTGAATACTCGAAAAATAACTTTCTTGCCAAACACTAAATCTTATTGTGAACTCTTGCTATTTCTTACGTTTGCCTGCAGCTGACAAGAAGTACGGAAAAATTTTGGTTTTGATAAAATGGATTTCCTCAATATGCATTTAAACTCTAATTTTTTTCTGCATCTCTGCATTTTGACTGTTTATGTTTCTACCGCTAACATCGTGACAAAGTGTGGCATCCCAGAATGCATTTCAGCCAAAGTCTCTTCTCCTTCCTATAATGTTATGAAAATGAACAACAAGCCCCTGAAGACCAATGTAACAGGGTTTTATCTTATCCCTCCAGTATCAAACGAATGCTACCTCAGGACCTCAGATATAATGGAAAGTTATCACTTCGATGGACACCAAATGGTCGGTGTGTTGGTTTTACGGTGTTCCTCCAGAGCTATAATTCATCTTATACCTGATGTAAGACCAAAATATTCAAATGTGTTATTTCAGATTCAGATAGATAAATGTCTTCTCACTACGGACAGTTTAAACGCCATCAGTCAGAGGGTAAAGATCAACCATTTATCATTTATTGACACGTATCCCCTGGTGAGCCACTCATACTGTGATGGGTCTAGCGTAGTCAACGCAGACTGTGGATTCTGGAGTTCTGCCACAGCTATCGGCATTATTCTTCCGCAGAACCTAAATTCCATTAATATTTCAAGACTTTTCTGGTGCAACGGAACGTTTCCTAACATTAAACAATTACTTTTTCGAAGATGGGACTTAAATAATCAAGATCTTCTCTACCTCAAAACAAGATTTCCAAACTTACAAGATTTGCAAATATCGGATTCCTCTCTGAAAGTACCGCCTTCATTTCCTTGGAATAATGAAACCTTCAGATTTAACAATAATATGTCGTATTCAGAGACTGGATTTTACGACTCAGCATCGGTCTTCAACATTGAAATCGAACCAAACATTTGGAAGCGTGTGCTAAACTTGAACTCAAATAACACACAGGTTTTGACAAATTTTATGTTTGATGGGCATCTAGACATGTTAAAGCTTTCAAGGAATGGACTTATGTCTGTAGGACCATTCACTTTTTCCAGAATAAAAGGTCTTCAGCATCTCGACCTAAGCGAGAATTTATTATCAGACATTCCTGCCAATATTTTCCGCGGCCTCACACGCCTCAGGCACATAAATCTTCATGCCAATCTCCTGTCCATTATTCCTGATGAGATGTTTTATGATAATACAGAGCTTGTCTACCTTGACCTTTCAAACAACAGCATAACAATAATTGGGTCAAATGCTTTCTCAAGATTACATCATCTAGAAGACTTACGACTTGAATATAACCGTATTGTCACAATCAGTTACTCCATGTTTCCAGCATATTCTGTATCTTTTCAGTCTTTGACACTTGATGGTAATCCAATGAAAGAATTACCTGAGGCAATTTTCTATTTCAAAACTTTGTATGATGTTAGTCTCCGGTATACTAATATCGACTTTAAGAACTTTACGCAAATGTTACTTGATTTAGATTTTTCTCTCCTGGCAGAAGGAAACGCACAAGGTCAGACAACAACAGAAGATGAATTGCTAACGAGATCTCCTCGGAAATTGAAAAGGATTGACCTCACCGGCAGTAAAATAAATAATCTTCATCTTAAGTATTTTGGGACTGATATCTCTACTAGAAATTCTGCTGTACTCAGAATGAAACTCCTTATGCTACTGAAATATTTTCATCTGATTCTTACCGACAATCCAATAAACTGTGATTGTAAAATTAACCATCTAACTAGATTTATAAAATATGCCCTAGCTAAAGGTTTTCTACGAGGAAACGAATATTTCTTTAACGACTGGAAGTGTTCTAATCCAAAAGAACTAAGATATATACCGGTAACGCAAGTTCCAGAAGCAGAAACCTACTGTCCCAAAGACATAGCTAATTGCCCGGTTGAATGCTCATGCTACGAACGGTCTATCAGCGGCGTCACTATTGTTGATTGTCGAAATGTCGGACTGAGAGAACTTCCTAGATCACTTCCAGAAGGAATTTTAGACTTGTGGTTTCAGAACAACAACATTTCAACTCTTACACGAGAGGAATATCTCCCCAGAACTCGACAACTTTTACTAACTGGAAATAAAAATATTAGAATTAATACAAATTTACTTCAAAATCTTCATATCTTAAAAATTACCACATAATATTTGTATAATATGCTTTACTTCTTATGAGTTGTCGTAAACGGGTAATACTATTATTGAAATTATCATTCATTTTCTGTGAGAGAGATGTTTATTTCTGATTTGTACATGTATGTTTATGGTTTTATCTAATGTGTTTGAAGACATGAAGTGTGTGAAATCAGTGTCGTGAAATATAGTGAAAAGAATACTCAAAATGTAGTTTTATGCATAACTCATCATTTGCATGTTATCATAACCTTATTTAATTTTTTAAATCTATTTCAGGTATGCATTTTGAATAAAATGTGTTTTTCTTTATTCATATTTATATATCCTAGGACGAACAGTTTGATAAAGTATTTCTTATTATTATGACTTTGTTCTGTATTCTATTGTTTGGAAGATTAGATTTACAGACAAATCTACGTTGAAGCAGCACATTTTTTCATTTAAAATGCGTTTAAAAACCTATGGTTGTTATAATGTCCTTGTCTTAATATACACTTCTGATGTTTTTGGAAGTCCATGCGTGTTTGCTCTGCTCCTTATATGTATTGTTTAAATGAACTTTTGAGCTTGATAAATGTTCGTTAGCATCATATTACATTTGCCTGACATGTTTCAAACCAATTGCATCCATTGTTTCTATATCAAATTTGAGTAAAAATTATCCCCTCTAACTGATCAATACAATAGCGGTCACGGCTGGTTTGACCGGTCAACAGCGGATGCTTTATCCTCCTATCATCTGATCTCAAGTCAGAAATTTCAGGGGTCCATGTTGTATGCCCTGTTCACAAAATGGTATTGTATAGAAGATTTTGGTGATCGATTACTATTCGTTATCTTCACTTTTTTTTCATTTTGATAAATATATGAAAACGTGATTTTTAAAATGTCAGTCTATACCTAAATTGTAACTTTCTCTTTCACTCGATATATTCCAGAACACTAAAAATAAAAGAAACTTCGGAGTCTGCCACACGTTTTTTTCTATAGCGATATTTTATCGACTATAGACGTAAATAGTCAGTTGCAAATGACAACTTAAGTATATGACAAACAGAGGGATTTCAGTTTTTCCGTTGTCAGCTTCCTCCGTGTTGTAATACAAATCACTAAATGCTCTTGTTTCAAAAAAGGCAAGCTATCGTTGGATGAAATATGGAGAAAACGAAGAGTATTCAAGCTCTCAGTCCATTAAACCAATACAAATTGGGAGCAGAGCTAACACGGACCTCCAAAAACATCAGAGGTGGGATCAGGTGCCATGGATGAGTGAGCATCCCCTGCCGACCGGTCACACCCGCCATGTGGATTCAATTTTTAGAATGAACTGTTTCATACAAATTGCTAGGCCCTTGTTTTTTTTATACTAATATTGACTAAGGATTTCTTCGATATAACATCAAGTATCGTGCATGAATTGTGATCTATATTGGAAATACCTTATTTTCACTTCACTGATAGATAGTATTTTGTCGAATTCTTTTGTATGCTTCTTTGTAGTGTGATGAATCAGTAACTGATTTTCTCTACTCTAGTTATCCACAGCCTATTCTGTTAAAAGCATGCTCATTCTTTTAGTACTTTTATCCTATGCATATACTTGAACCACTCATTTTTTATGTATGAAATGTAAAGATCAGGAACATTGATTATACTGAAAAGTTCATTTAAACAATAAAATTTTGTACAGAGCTAACACAAACCTCAGTTGCCATGTAGTAGTAAGCATCGCCTGCCCGCCGGTCACAATCACAATGTGCTCCTTGGCATGATCGGGTAAACAGAAAAACTCTTAGACAATTAACTGTGAAGATCATCGATATGAAAGATGTCAGTCAACATTCGACTTAACAACAGATTGTATTTGTAAACAAGGTCATTGTTTTGATCATAGAATTTTCGAAATGTTGACTTTAAACGAGATTGAGATTCTTGAAACTATTTATTTGTCAATAGATGGCTCGTTTTCGAAATTGTTCGTAAGTGAACATACCCTTGCTCATCGTATCAATTTGGGGTACATAAACTCTATGTGCAGCTGATAATGGTATATTACCTACAACAATAAGGTAAGTTGACGATAGAAAAGTTGAAGTAATTCAATTTATCATAAAGTTGTGTTTTATTTCGAGTTCAAACGGTTATCTCGAATCAACGTAGGTATGAACCTGAATATAGTTAAATTTATAAAATGTCGTCGATATATCTGAATGTCGAATTGAAAGCCACAGTAAAAAAACTTCTTCTTTTCCTGTAGAAGTTGTTTTTGAAAAAAAAAATCTTTTTCATGTTAATACAAAAACAGGTCTGCTCATAATGGGCACAATTATTACCCTTCAAAATTCCAACAGTTGTTGGAAAATCTTGTCTCTGAAAATTATTAGATAATGCCAAAGAAAACTCAGGAGTGTTTCTGATATCATCCTCGTAGTAGTTAGTTGTGTGTAGAATCAAAATGTTTTAACAAAAAAAAAAAAAAAAAAATGCAGATGACCAATGACAAGGCATGCAAATTTACTAGTTCCATTTTTATTTTATTGACGAAGCAGTTTACTACAAAGTCTGGTCTTTAATTTATCTTGGGGAGTGGTTGTTAAAAGTGTGAAAAAGGTCGTATGCTTTTTTTTTTAGTAAAAGTCGGATATTATTTGTCTCCCGGTCTTTGCATCCGCCTGTCAAATTTTGTAATATTACAATTTTAAAATTTATTTTAGAATTTTTATGAAAAAAAGTCTTGTATAATTTTTCTCCCAGGTCTGTATGTCCGTCTTTCACAATCTTCCTATTTTTGTTTTTACAATTAAACAGTAGCGAATCAATACTTTCTATATTTTTGATTTGTGTTGAACTGTAGATTTCCAATATCGTTTTTGAATTTTCACTTTTATTATGGGGGCATATGGTTTTTTTTTTTTTTTTTTTTTTTTTTTTTTTTTTTTTTTTAAAAAAATGGCTCCCAGAACTCTTAAACCGAAGAAGCCAAATTATATTGAATATGACTGATGGTATCAAGTAGATATGCAATAAGTGTTCAGAATTTTGTTTTTGCATACCAGTAGATATGGAATGAAAAATTGGTTCAAGTTGTTGTTTACTCAACATTATGTGGTAAGATTGAGTTTTGTCACTTGTTAAATGTTTAGTGAAATCACCATGATACTTACCATTCAGTGCATCACAAATGTGATCTCAGCCTTCCTTAACGTAGCTAAGTGTTCACAAATTTGTATTGCTTTGTATATTTTTTCTTATCTTTACCTTTTTCATTAGTCGCCCGTGTGGCGCAGTGGTTGGGGAGTCTATTTTAGAGTCGCGGAAAAAGGAGCTAATTCTTACGTCGCGGGTTCGAAACTGTGGAACGTGCAAATCGGTCCTTCGGATGAGACCGTATTAACCGAGGTCCCGTGTCACAGAAGGTGTTGGCACGAAAAAGATCACTTACTGCTCAATGGCCCTGAGTGCCGAGTAAAGGTCTAAATTTGTAGCCCTCCACCTGCAAGTGGTTGCGTCCCCATATGAGTGAAAAATTTGCAAGAGGGAAGTTAAACAACAAACAAAATCTTTCTCATTAGTATAAGGATAATGAATAAAATAATATAAACTGTGGGTTAAATGATACAACCATACATTAATGTCTATCCTTTTAAGTAATATAGGATAATACATGTATATCTTTATTTTATTGAGTTTTTTATTCTTTATATTCGTTTTGATACCCTCCATTTTCAAAACTATGTGGCATGACCTTTTACTCTCTCTCTCTCTCTCTCTCTCTCTCTCTCTCTCTCTCTGCTGATAAATGGAAACTTAAACTTTATACATTCCTACCTTTATTTACACATAATCCCAAACGCCCCCACACGTATTCATCATCATCAGTTTATAGTCTGTTGTTTACTTGTGCAAAAAATATATAAACCTCAACGAGATATTCAATGAAAGTGTTATTGTTTATCAAGTTTTTTTTACGCATATTTTCCAGAAAAACAAATATATTGAAGATAAGTGAAGAACTAAAATAAGATTGATTCCGCATTAAAGGTGTTAATGAGTGTTTCTGTGGGCAGTTAACTTTTATGTAAAGGTCTTTAGTAACTGCGAACTTGTAAAGTCTAATTCAAATTTGAAATATACAAACATATTTTTTCACCCACATTCATCAATCATGATCAATTGTCTTACTTTTTTTTTAGACATGAATGAAGAAAATGTACTTATATAACTTGCATAAATATAGAGATTAAAATATCTTTTCGGAAATTTCAGAAATTTTAATTTGCTAGACCAGTGAACTGTTTTTGTAACGCCCCCTTCTCCCTTTTTTCTCTAAGATCGATTATAATGATGAATATGTGCCGACGAAAACACGATTTCCATTAGTTTCCTTGAGCAGGTAAAATGAGAAAAAAGAGAAAAAACTTATGATCTTCACCTCTTTTCACTTCATGCATATCTGTACATACAGATACATTGTTAATGTCAGTAGAAAAGCTTGGTATATAGTGTAGGTATTTTTGAACTAAAACAGTTTGCAAATAAAGAGAAAATTCCACTTTTTTTGTTTTTGTTTGTTTTTTAAAGATAAAACCTACCCACACAATTTTACTTTCCTCCATTGTTTTAAAACGTATTGGAACCTATTTGTTAATCTATCTTTGGTAATGTGCAATTACTATTTTTCCCAACATATCTCAAAGGGATGTCGAATTGTCCATTCCATGTAAAATAAAAAAAGAACTAATACATGGCATTGATGATATATTTTTGGTCCCTGGAGAACAAAGAGAGTTCATTATCATTTCTTGAATATTATTACAAAAGCTTCTTCACATTTGAAATATAAATGATCACATCTTTTCATCAGGACAAGCAGATTTCCGGAGGCTGGAGAGCACTAAATATCCCATGGTTTCTCTACTTTAAATTCTCTACTTCGAGATTGAGCAAGAAATTAGTGGAATGTTGAGTTTTAAAACTATTTGGTTATTTGTTCACGTTGAAATTAAAATGGGCAAAATGCAATTAACTATATTCTTGCAGAAATTAAATCATAATATAATGCTTCAAAAACCCTTACTAGGTCTCGACTTTTCAAAAATCCCAGAATCACGAAATTAATATATTTAACCTATATTCCAAGGAACAGTGGTACCTTTAGTTGACCTTTTTCCTTGGGTCAAATATGTCAATGTGTCACCGACATGTTTTAATAAAAAAAAAATCTGTTTTTCTAATTCAGCAGAAGGAAACAATTTTTTTCTGACCTATCAAAACTTGGCAAAGACAGGTTTTGCACAAATGATATAAAG